TAAAAAGCACAAGTGTATGTTACTCACCGTTGCTGTGGGGAAGTCCACCTTGCAACAGCACTAATCCCCCCTCAGTGTATGAATGGTACAGAAGCCGAAAAGAAGGCTCTTGAAGAGCAATATCAGCTTGAAGCTGCCGAGAATGAGAAGACCGTTCAAAAACTAAGTAAGTGACAGCGTACTGAGCAAGGTACACACCTCAGCATAGTCTTGCAGGCTGTCAGTGCTGACGGTCATGGTAGAAGACACTGTAAACCATCGCGCAGGCAAGAAGCATCAAAAGGCAACCAAACAAACTTCAGGTTTGTGTATTTAGCTGTGGGTCCAGACATGCCCAATCCGTCTGAAAGCGAGCAGCAAGCGACCCACGGTCTCTTGCAACACCTACGACAACAACGAAGGCAGACAAGAGGGAGAGCGAACCTTGCTATCACCTAAAAAGGTTGTTGTGCCCGAACCTTGGAAGATCAGAGGGCAACTTCAGTCCAGAAATGCGGAAGCGGCTGCCACAGCGAAGAACAACACGACACGGACATCTCAGGGCAGTGAGCAAGATTTGTAAGTCTTGCCGACCCATTTGCAGTCCTGATTCAACTTATGCTCTCATGACAGAGATGCTCCATTTGCTCATGAGGAGTCAGAAGAGAGTGGCTTGGAGTTTGCTGACTCAGGATCTGAGAGCGATGAAGAAGACGATTTTGAAGAAGATATTGACTTGAGTTCTGAGGTGCGCACATAGAGCTTCTAAATACTGCCGGTTTTGGCTGAGATCGAGCCAGAAACCCCAGTGGGTCAAGTCCCAAAAGATTGCTCGCTCTAGCGATGCTTCTGAAGGCTCAGACGAAGATGATAGCAACAGCGACAACAACATGAAGATCATCAAGCCAAGGCGTTGTCAGGCTTTGTCAACATCTGCTACTATTCCCTCTCGATCGCCAACACCGTCTAGCAATGGCAACAACCTGGTCGATGCCTCAGACACTGACGAACCTGCGGTACGTCTTTGCTTACATACCTGCTTGGTGAAAAGGTCGACTAATATTTACTAGAAGCCGAAGAAGATGCCTGCAAAGCGGAAAGACCAGTCAAATGCCGGCAAGGCGCCTTCTAAGAAGCCTCGCACAATGACCAAGCGCGAAGAGAAGCAAGTGCGCAGATGCGAAGAAGAGGTGTGCAGATGATTAAAGAGCACTCTCGATCATTCTGCTGACATAAAAACAGCGTCCGCAGTGGAAGAAGACCACGACAACAACAGTGACAACCATGTCGGATAGTGTCAAGCTGATCAAAGACGTTGCCAACCAGCACATTGGCCCATGCTCGACAGAGAACCTTACCGCATGGGAGTCTGACTACCATTCGTAAACTTGAGTTGTCTACAACAGCACGCATAGAATCAACATCAACCGGCAAAGCAAGACCGTAAGAAAGTTCTGTCATGCAGCTATTGCCTGCGTAACAGAAGATATGGTATTCCATCATGGTACGTCATGTTCTCTGACCTTTGTTCTCTGACCTTCGCTGGACCTCTAACTTCTTGAGTGTTTTTCAGGCATATACCCCTCTGACATTTGTATTCACGAGCAGCAGCAGCTCATTATTGTTTTCGCTAAGAAGCTGAGTTATAATGAAATTGCAGCATGCCTTGAAGCCGATATACTGTACGCGAAGTTATTTGTTGAAATGGGACGGCCTAAGTCCCTCTAAAACATGATCTCACTTTGAACCGACCACAAGCTGACACACGGAACATCCAAAGGCGTACCTCTATCAGAGATGATGTGGAGCCGCTTGTGGTAACAGAGTATGGCCTCAGCTCCGGTACACCCGAAGCTGAGGAGGCTAGCAAGATCTGGGTCAAGGCACTGCAGGATGACCTTGCGTAGGCATTCCCTGGGGATGTCATGTTAAGGGTATGTACCTCTGCGTTTTCTAACCGTCTGTGCTAATCTTTGATAGGCGGGTGTGGACAACAAACATCCGTTCAAATGTCCCATCTTTACGAAGATAATCAAAGATGCCTTCTTCATGGCAGGCACCAAGGGAAAGCCAGCTGCAGCCACGGACAAGGAGGCGGTCTTCACCTCGAGTGAGTACATGAAGCCGCACAAAAAAGAGATGCTGCCAAACATGGTTGCTTTGGCTTGCGCCACGGTAAGTTAGTTTCATGCTTGATACTGCGCGCTGGATAACGCTAAGAGTGTTGACACTCTGTAGATCCACCTTGCCCTTGATGAGTGGTCAGGCAGTGAACATAAGAAGACTGATTACAGCACGACCAAGGCTGAGAAGGTTTATAAGGCAGCGATGGAGTCTCTTAACTGGCTTGCTTCAAACTGCCCCGCCGCATATCACCACACCTTGCATAACCTCTACGTCAACGTCTGGTGCGTATAGTATTAGCGTGGAGTCTGTGGTTCAGCACTGATCTGATATGCTACAGCGGTGGTCCAGCTCTTTCTCACACCAAAGGCCGTGACGATGCTATGCAGTCATTAATTGGAAGGTTTAAGCTTGGCTTCCGTGAGGAGAACAGCGCGAATGCAGGTCCAGCTTTGCATAGAGATAGTGATGCTATGCTGGGCGAGTCGGTACTACCTGTGCATGAGAATGCCGATGGGTCGTTGGCTGCACCTGTAGTTGGCTAGTAGTGCATGTATCTGTCTGCTTTTTCTGGGTGTCGCAAAATAAAGAACATTATGAGCTTGTTTATGGATCTATTGCATGCATAAACATTTCCAAGGCATAGACAAATTATCGCGATTTAAGGGTAATGCCAATAATCTATGGAGGTCGGTTCAAAGACATCTAAAAAACCTAAAGCCCTAACGTGAGGCTAATTATGAATAATTAGATGTCAATAGGCTTTCGCTGGTGCTGGGGGTTTTCCCTGATGCAACTGTTCTACTCATGCGTCTCTATATATGCACTTTGTTCTGCATGCTGACAGACGATCAGGTGGCAAGAAGGAACTTAATCACGAGCAGGTCGTGCTTGTCAAGAACAAAGACTGCAGGCATGAACGAGAAGCGGTGGATACTATGCAAGGATACTGCATTGATTGCACTCCATTCTTTGACCCGGGTGCGGTGCTGCAA